CGAATTAAAAATCAGTATCCTCAAATTAGAGTAGAAGGCAAAATTATTCAAAATATACCCAAAGCAAAAAATTTAGGTGTAATAATTGACTCAAACCTAAAGTTTGAAAGTCATATTAGTGAAGCTGTTAGAAATTGTTTTTACAGGCTTAGACTTCTATATAGCATTAGACCATATTTAAGTACTGATTTGCGTGTCAGAATATGTGAAAGTCTTGTCCTTTCTAAACTAAATTATGCCGATGTTGTTTATGGACCAGGCATCAATGCTAAAACAGAGAGGATTATTCAACGCGTACAAAACGCATGCGCGCGTTTTTGCTTCAACATCCCTCCGCGGTCGCACGTAACCCCATATCTGAATAAGAGTAATCTTCTTAAAATGAAGTCACGAATGCAGTTGCATTTTGCAGTTTTACTTTTTGGCGTTATAAAGTCGAAATCTCCTGATTATCTGTATGAGAAGCTATCGTGGGCTAGTGGTTATAATAGATATCATACAAGGGCTTCGCCATTTCTTCTTGTAACGCCAATTCATAAAACTACTCTTTGCCGGGGATCATTTAAAATAGCGGCCTCAAAAACATGGAATGTTCTCCCACCACCTATGCGTGAAGTGAAAACAAAATATACTTTCCGAAAGCATTTTAAAGAACATTTGCTACAAGTTCAAAAAAATAATTGATAATAACGATAAAGGATTCATTAAAGGCGCGTGGGTGGCGACATTTACCTTGGCTGAAACTATTTGCTGGTACCAGAGAGCAAGTGTTATGGATATTTTTATTTTAATACTGCGATACCGTTATTAGAATACGTAAAATGCACCGTACGCATCACTGTGGGTACATGTATATATATATTTTTTTTAATTTTATTTCTTTGTAATTGTTTATTTTTTCTTTTATCCATTACGTATATAATGTTTTAGGATTATTATTTAAGATTATTAATATATAATTTTACTTTTTATTATTTATATACTTTTCTCTTGATATTATTATGTTTATTTTAATTGCATAGTATCTGATTTATTAAGTTAATGTATAAGTATTTTTTAATTGTAATATTTGCGCGTCCGTACTGGGGGCCCAACTGAAAATCAGCGCTGGAAACTATTTCCAGCATTATGCTGAGTTGTGGCCCACATTGACTCCGTTTTTTAATGTGTAAATTATTCTTGTATTTCTTATGCTATTACTGTAAAAACGAGTTAATAAAAAATTCTATTCTATTCTATTCTAATATTGAAATAATAAATTTTTACTACATGCATATGCCCATAAATATGGTACATACACCAAAATAACATTTTTTACAATTTTTGTCTGTCTACCTGTCTGTTTGTACCGGTTAATCTCTGAAATGGCTGGACCAATTTGGACAGGACATTTTTTGGCAGGTAGCTGATGTAATAAGGAGTAACTTGGGCTACTTTTATTTTAGCAAAATAAAGTTAAATTCCACGCGGACGAAGTCGCGGGAACAACGAGTTATAAATATAATTTTTAAATATTTTTTTATATGGATTCTTTGTCTCAAATTTGGGTTTTTAATCTACATATAAATAAAATTGGAGTGTCTGTTTGTAATATTGAAATAACCGTCTTTTAGTACATGCATATGAATATAAATACGGTACATACACCAAAATAACATTTTTTATAATTTTTGTCGGTCTGTTTGTTCCGGCTATTCTCTGAAATGGCTGGACCGATTTTGATGGAACTTTTTTGGCAGGTAGCAGATGTAATAAGGAGTAACTTAGGCTACTTTTATTTTAGAAAAATAAAGTTAAATTCCACACAGACAAAGTCGCGGGAACAGCTAGTTATAAATATAATTTTAGAATATTTTTTTATATGGATTCTTTGTCTCAATTTTGGGTTTTTAATTTTCAATAATATTAATATGTTTTTTAGTTAAATTGTATACCTACATTGCCCTGGAGATGGGGATAGGAAAATAATTGCAATACAGTTTTTATACAGTTACAGTTTTTATTTTATAATGTTATTGTAATAATTTTGTATTGCTTTAAATGAATTCTTTAATTTTATTTATAAGTATATATATATATATATATATATTTGTATATGACAAGGAAATGGTTTTTTTTTTACGGATGATATATATACGGTTTATGGCGGGGCACCAGTGAAGAATGATAAGATGAACATGATATATGACAAATTCACCAGGAATTTAACACGATGGTTTCCAGGGGGAACCGCGTGGAGGTCAACCTGACATGGTACTTTGCTAGCAATGGGATCATTAGTCCACATTACTAACAATCTCCTTCCCCCCGACAAGGAAATGGTGCCCCCGCCTGCACTAACGGTTTACGCTGGCGGGGCACCAGTGGAAGGTGATAATATGAGAATGATGACGACACCGAATGGGACAAAATCATATTCGGAGCCTAGACCCCTGTATTTATATGCTTATATTTCATTTGTAATATTATTACAGGTTCTAGGCCAACTGATTGACAGACTCCATGTTGAAGAGGCATGCCCATCATTTCTAGAAGAATTATTGGAACATATTGAGGCAATGCTGAATGGACTATATACAGACGATCAAGTTGTTAGTATATTTTTTATATATATAATTGCAATGGCACATAAACTTTCGGCCCACCTGATGGTAAGTGGTAATCGTCGCCTATATAATAATACACATAAACAGCACTATGGATATCACGTTATCATGTGATGTGCCGTGATACCTTTCCTACAAATGATAAATAGATGTAATTTTACTGCCTTATCTACACTATATGAAAATAACAATATTATAAATAAATAAAATTATTATTATTATTATAAACGCCAAAGTTTGTGAGTATGGATGGATTTTTTTTTCTTTATACCACTTAGGTGACAAACAAGCATACGGCCCATCTGATGGTAAACGGTTACCGTAGCCTATGGACGCCTGAAACACCAGGGGTGTCACATGCGCGTTGCCGACTCTTAGGAAATCTTAATATACCCTTCTTGAAAAACCCCATAGTCTCTCGAGAAAACCTCGGCAATCTAAGTGTACGCGGGAGGAAGCTCTTCTGAAACAGCACTGTCCGAGACCACTTAGGTTCTAGCGTGTAGGGATGAATTCCCTGTCGATGGCGAGCGGTGCGATGGATGTTTGTTACTCTGTCACGCAAAATATACTCAACGGATTTTTATGAAACATTACAGTAGATTATACATCAGAATAACATACAGGCTATAAATATGACGCGGGTGAAACCGGGCACAGATAGTTATACATAAAAAAAATATGGTAAAACTATTTTCAGTTACTGAAAAAAGAAGAGAATATCCACCGTCTCTCTCTATTCAACAAGTCTGTACACATAGTAAAGTACAGTATAGAAAAAATAACGAAAACATTAGAGAAAATACATACAAACTTCACACAAGAGGACTTGTATGAATTGAACGATATCATACAAACTGAGAACATACCATACATGTTTCATATACTAGAAATACTAATTAAAAGATGTTTAAAATCCCGAGACACATTTGAGGATATTTCACAAAAATCTCAAGATATCTCGCTTAGGAGAAGCGACATATCGGAAATATGGCGACGTAGATGGAACATCGGTTGCAAGGACCGGAAAACTGAGGGGAGTCAGGGAAAAAGTTGTGTTTTAACAAAATGTGGTGAAGTATTGAATAAGATCGTTGTGGACTGCATGAACGGGTACAGTTTAGTAGCTTTCTCTGCGTTACAGTGCTTTAATTTGTTGCAATCATAAATAAAAAACGATAAATAAACGTTAACACACTTATATCAACTAATCTAGTATGTTATTTAATCCCTAAGACAAATTTGACATTACCGATGTTGTCAGGTTTTTGAATTTTTTAAATAGTGTTGTGGCATTATCGGCAATTAATATAAATTACCCATTTTATAGGTTATTTTTATATTCAGAAATAATATGTGGGTGTTTATTTTATACGCAATATCATAAAATTAATAACGTATAGGTATTAATAAATATATGGTTGTTGTATAAAAATAGATTTTTTTTATGTTTCACTAAAATAAATGCGAGCAGCCCAAGGCCGATCGTGGTACATGTACGTAAATTTTAAAAACTGTCGTGGAAACGTCCGGTAAAGGTTTAAAACTAATATGTTAAAACAAAAGTTTCCGATTAAACAAATCGGTATCACAGGTACACCACTACTCCGCTATACCTGGTAACATTATTTGATTGAAATTTGACATTTAGACCTGTCAATTTAGTCTCCGGGATTCAAAAATAGAATATATACTCTTTCTCTGACATAATTGACCGGCCCAACGTCACTTTAGCTGCGCGATTCTTTTGATGCCTGTAACTCTACTGCGTCTTCTGGTCTCAGTGTTCCGTATTGTATCTCGTAGACAGATACCGAGCATAGATCGCTCCATTGCACTTGTAGCTTGTTGACACTTCCGGCGGGGGGAAGGGAATTGTTAGTAAAGTGGATTGATGACTCCATTCCTAGCAATGTACCATGTCAGGTTGACCTCCACGCAGTACCTCCTGGAAACCATCTGGTCAATTTATTACAATAGGCTTACTGACCTGACCTCATTGCTCATCTTATCCCCTCCGATCGATCCCCCGTCCAATTCAAACGGGGATCGAAATTACGACGGCCTGAGCCGAGGTTCGAACCCCTAGTGGTGCCTTCAGATTAAAGTCGTATCCGTCAGGCAGGAGTTGGCCTTCAGCCGCTCCATAAGTTCTTCCGCGGGTTTGGAGTGCCATCTGCACTCGCCCCCTAACGTCCGGTGAAGCTGTAAAGGCCAGCTGCGGCCAACAGCATTAGAGTAGTCCGAAAAGCTCATCTTATCATCCTCCACTGGTGCCCCGCTAGCGTAAACTGTTAGCGCAGGCGGGTGAACCATATCATTATCATCTATTAAAAAGAAGACCCTTTAGAAGTCAAACAAGTCTATACAAATATATAAAATCGCAGTGTCTATCTTTAATATTATTAATTAATAATGTCATCTTGTTCATAATAAGAAGATAATTCTTCCTCCAGCTTCTGCTTCTCACAAACTTCTCGCAAATGCCGGTTCAATTTGCTTTTTCCCTGAAAAAAAAAACAAAAGAAACGGTTGTTTTAGGGTTTAGGGGCCATCCACAAGTTACGTCAGTAAGTAGCTATAGTGTTTGTTTATACAAATGAGTAGGGCGAAATAGGTCGCCCTAACAACAAGATGGGGCCTACAACATCTATAGACCGGGCCAACGTAACGGAGTCGCGGTAGAATGATAACGCGATCTCTCAACACCGGCAATGGCACTCGTAGGTACACGGTTTTTAGTGGGTACATTCCACACAGCCCCTCCTGTCCATCCCTCCGACGGTAGACCGGTCTTATGAAAAATTTTCCGCACATTGTCACAATTTATCGAACTAACCCCATGTTAATTAATGTCACACTTTATCTAACTACCCCCCTTGTTAATTAATGTCACACTTCATCGAACCCATCCTCTCTTTAAAGTGTGATGTAATCTGTGTATATATCCCCTTATAATAAAGAAAAGACTAAGCACCTTGAAACTGAGTCCACACAGATGACACACAGCTACCTGATGCTGTTCAGGCGCATCATGGTTCCTCACATGCCGCACCAACGACTTTCTGGTGGTGTACCGGGCTGGGCATCGAGGGCACCAGTAGTTCTTCGTCGAGGAGTGGACTCCAGCGATGTGGTTGGTCAGGGAACGCTGGTTGGGGCAGATCTTGCCGCAGATCGGGCATTCTGGACTGATGAAGAATTAGAAAAATTATAATACAATACCAGCTGATCCTGGAAACGTTGTTTTGACATATAAATTAAAATCGCTATTAAAATAGGGGTTAAGGTAGAAGAGTGAAAATTTAGGGTTGTATCTATTTTTTAATAAAAGAAGTTTAAAAATTGTCCAATCAATAAATAAATAATGTTAGGGGTAGACAACCCTTATCACTTAGGAGCATGAATAGTAGCCGATTCGCAGACCTAGTGAATATGTATATAAAGTTTCATAAAAATCGGTCAAGCCGTTTCAGAAGAGTCCCAAGCTAAACAGAGCCTGTGTTATCGGTACCTACTAGACAACTGATATAAAAACATAGATACGAGTACTTATATTTTTTTTGTAAATACATACATAATAAATACATAGAAAACAACCAGATCGATATAAACTATCATACTCATACACATACAAATGTTGTACCGTGGGAGGAATCGAACACACGACCATCGGATGTAAGGCAGTATGGTAATCCACTAGACCACAGAGACCGTAAAAATACATAACAAAATTCTAAACTTACACACTTTCCTGATGATTAATAGAGTTTCTTCTATGAGCTAGCAGACTCTTCTTACTTGAGTAACTGACACTGCAAGTCTCGCAGAAGAACATGGCCGTTTCACCAGGGTTGTGCTTCTTTTTATGCTGGGTCAGAGTGTATGGACTTTTGAAGGTTGATGAGCACTGGTCGCAGTTGAATTTCCGCCGGATGTGGGTACTGGAAGGTGAAAGAAGAAATATTTATATAGTGTTCATACAAAGAAGTACGAACCGATACGATATTGAAACCTTCAATAAAAGAGCTTATACCTTTTTAAAAGGCCGATAATGTACTTGCAATTCCCCTGGTGTTGTGGGTGCTCATGGGCGGCGGTAATCACTTACCATCAGGTGAGCCGCATGCTCGTTTGTCCCCTGTGTTAAGTAAACCAAACTTAGGTTTGTTTTTGTTGATGATTTTCTTTATCCTCGCCTCTTCCCGTTACGCGGAGTCTTTTAATGGATGATGATGGAATGATGCACCCGCCTGCGCTGACGCTTTACGCAGGCGGGGCACCAGTGAAGTATGATAGGATGAGCATGAAGTCAGGTCAGTTACCCCATCTTGGCAAATGACAATTTATTTATTTATTTATATAACTTCAATGCACAAAATACCAAGGTAAAAGTACATATGGCGGACTTAACTCCTTACGGCATTTTCTACCAGTCAACCACATGTTGTGCAGAGAACTGGTAGGCGGTGCAAATGTAATCAATAAGAAAAATAATACCTATGTCATAAATAATATATATTTACTAAACGTAAGTACATATAAACATACATATACAAATACATACAATATATATAAAGCTATAGATAAATATGAATAAAATACATACCTAAATATACCATTTACATATCATATAACATACTTAATAGTCTGACAATGAAATAGCAACAGTAGATAGAACATAACAAAAAAATTTACTACGATGATTTCCAGGGGAACCGCGTGGAGGTCAACCTGACATGACACATTGCTAGCAATGTGGTTAGTCCACATTACTAACAATCTCCATCCTCTTCGTTACCCGTCGTCGGGTTTTCTAATCTTGAAGGGCCATACGTTTCGCTGGTAAACATCGTCATTTGGCAGGCTCAACTCCTTCATGTCCCTATGGACGTTAGTCGAACAAGTAGTTGGTGGCCTCATCCTCTTTTCATTGTAGCCATAGAAAGGCACTTTTTCACACACAAAAAAAATATAAAGACTGATTGAAAATTAATCATAACTATTAAAAATCTACCAGTTGAGTTTGGTGCCAGTTCTTCTAATTGAATCTCTACACTGAATTAGATGGTAGGGAAAAAATTATAATGCAAAAAATTTGACGTTCATAAGCGGCTAAAATATCTATTTTTCCTACATTAATAAATTATTTTTGATTTAAATAAAAAATTGTGACTTACATCATATGCGTCCTGACAGCTGCTTGGTTGGCGTAACTCTTGCCGCAAACGCTGCACGAGTAATTCCGTTTGCTGGCGTTCGCCTGATGGAACCGCCTTAAATGTTGTTGTAATCCGCTGGCCTCTCTAGATTTTAATATTTTATAAAAAAATGTAGCTACCTTAACAGAACACATTTTTCAGAAGCGCGCGGTTTAGGAATTAGTCGATAGTCGATTAAACTGTCAGTTAAGTTAGTGCAGGCAGGTGTACCATTCCATTATTCATAAAAACAAGTATATTTGTTTATGTATGTATGTAGTATGTTAAAGTCTGTGGTCAAATTAAGAATAGATTAATATACCGTTTATCTTTAATATTATTTGTCTATAGTTATACTGAACGTAAAATGTATGAATTCGAAATCACTAGTATTTTAATGACATTAAATATATTGATGCGACTAACCTGAAGACGGCTCCACAGAGGTGACAGGCGCGAGGGTCGCCGCGATGTACAGGCCGCGGGCTGTACGTGCTGCACGTGCTGCACGTGCAGCGCGGCGCGCGGCCACGTGCGGGCAGGCACATCGCACGTGCGCAGCGCGCGCACCGCAGCCGGCACGCGTGCGCCGCCACGTGGACACGCAGCACGCGCGCGCTCGCAAACCTCAGCGTGCAGGTTTCACATCGAAACTCGCCGTTCGACTACGGATTGTGGAAGAAACAATAATATGCCTGGACAATTCACACCAACTAGCCACAAACTGAGCTGAGCTTGTGTTGTCAGAAGTCTGATAGAAAAGATAGATTTTTTTTGTATATACATAGAGAACACCCAGATCGATACAAATAATCATACTCATGTAAATTGTAATATATGCAGTGATTGTATTACTGAGGAGAGTGCTATTGCTAGCAATGTACCATGTCAGATTAACCTCCATGCGGTTTCACCTGGTAACTATAGTGATAAATTCCTGGTGAATTAGCCCTGATGGTACTAACTGACCTAACCTTATACTCTTCACTGGAGGCCCACATCATGCCGTTAGCGCAGGCAAGTGATTAAAAAAATATTTAAAATGCAAACAGGTAGACAAATTATCATTTTATGTATCTTACCTCTTCATGCCTCATCATATGAGCTTGGTAGGTATCCTTGAACAGAAACCCCAATGCACAATTATAACATTTAAACTCTGCTTCTATATACTTCTTCTGTTTCCTATTCCATTCTAATTCTGCCTTCTGTTCTTCTAAACTTAAAATTATCTTCTCAAACTCCTTTTTTTTCTTTTTTGACTTTTTCTTTTTTGTCTGTATTGATGAGTCATTGTTTATTAATTCCTCAATATTATCCGTTTGGTTATCATCAAAAGATTCATCATTCAATTCAATATTATCATCAGCTATTACATTTGATATATTTTCAGGTAATTCTTGTTCAGTTTCTATATTGTTGGGTTCATTAGCTTCATTATCAGTATCTTCGTTATCATTATAAATATAATAATAATCATTATTGATAGATTCAAATTGATTTTCACTATCTTCACAGCCTAATGTGTGTATTTGAACTTCACTCTCCAAATATTTATATACATTAATTTCTCTAAAAAAGTTATAAAGATATATTAGCAGACTAGCTGTTTTCTGCAACTTTATCAATCTTTTTTTTTAGTTATAAGACAGCCCATAATATAGAGAAAGAAAGAAGCAGATTTCTCTAAAAAAAGTTATATTTAGAGGCACTTTAGTTTAATATTAATATGGATAACTTTAGTGACCTAAGAAAGTCTAATTAAAGGTATTTTCAGAAACCACATGAAGTTTTCAGATAATTGTTGTTTGCTCCATTACAGAATGTTCAGAATAATATATATTCCTAATACCAAGCATACATAGTCACAGCTCGTAAGCACGGCTAATTAATTTTATAATAATAATAATAATATTCTGCCCGCATTGTACGCCGGTTTCTCTCCCTGGGGCCCTTAACCCCGGCCGACTGTGCTTCTACCGGGTGTATGTTGCCATCTCCTCTCCTTAAGAGGGGAGATGAGAATATTTGGAAAAAAAAAAATAATAATAAAAAAACATACCTGAAAATTGTAGGTTCTTGGTAAAGCCGTTGTTTGCAAATACACTTGAAAATCCAAAGTTTCTTTAACAAGTGATGACAAATATAACACAAACCATAGTCAGGTAAAATCTGTAACAATATTTTAATACATTACACGCTTGTTAAACATTTTTAAATTAATATAAAAACAAACTCACATCAATTCCGATTATATCTTTAAATTTATCCGATATTTCATCATTTAGATCACACAATTCAGCGCTATGGCATACAAAACATATAATAGTAGACATTTTTATTATTTATCAAGAAATTTGTACATAAATAAAATAATGAACGTAATATAGAAATTCGAATATAATCAATTCTCAAATCAAAACAAAACAATTAAATCTGATGGATGAATATGTCAGTTTCGAAACTAAAATTCGAATAAACTGTCAAAACGTCAATCAATATGCCAAATCAGATTTAGCTGTCAAATAAAAATGTTTAAGTGATGGCCTTCCTCACTTAGACGATAACTGATGAATCTATTTTAGGACTTATTAATTGAAAAATATTTTACAGTTTTGAAATTTGTTCAATGAACACTTGCTGAATGAAAATGACGATATTTTGTGTAACAAGTAATTAAGAACATAGATTGCAATCCTGCATGGCCGATAGCGTTGACCTAAGAAAATTGCCAAATATGGGTTTTTATATTTAGAGATACTTTCATGTAAATATTTTCTTCGATATCGCCATTTAGAAATGCTATTGAGACGTTTTAATTATGTAAATTTCAACAAATCTATTTACAATCATGAGTTTTCAGTAACTAATGTTTGATACAGACACGCTCGTTTGAATAAATAATCATTATTTTTGATAATAATCACTTTAGAGTTCCGTGTTTACCGCTGATTCCTGAATGACCATGCATGGTATTCAATCCTAGATTCTTAGTAGACCCTCCTAGGCTACTCAATAATCCAAATTATTAAAATTGAAAATTAGCAATGCAAGTCGAGTAGATATCGTTACTTATTAGATTAAATTCGGACCAAAGCATCGTATCGCAACACTACATACTTAACGAAACGAATCGACACGACACGGAACATGTCAAAATTTAGAAAAAATTAAAAAAATCATACTTCAAACCCTACGTTCCCGTAAATTTAATTTCGAAATATAACTACTGACCTAACAAATATTTTATAAATTGCAACGAAGTGTTGTATTTGAAACTTTCAATATTAAAAGTGTGTTTGTGTGAATGATTGTAGTTAATGTAATAGTCTCTCGTAAGAGGCCCATACCGCGGATATGCCCTGAAATTGGCTGTGAGGACTTGTATAATAAACACGTTTGTGTAACTGCTCGCAATTGTGAGCAGTATATTCATGAACATTGTGTATAAATTCTACTAGTCACAGTTTATAGAGTGACCTCTGACCGTTTGCGAAGTTTTGCAATGTTTGTTACCGGTTTACACAATTTTTAAGCGCGAATTGTCGGTAATAAACAATCAGTTTGATGATCTACCAATTGGACGTTGTCTCTGGTGACTGTGAGTATTTTTTATTTTTTTATAGGTTAAATATCGAATGGGCTACTTCTTTAAATTCAATTATGAAGTGACGACAATGGGTCACAGGTGTATCACATATACGGTTCAATAAGATTCTAATTGGATACCGGGTGAGTGAATGGTATAATAGAAAATAATTTATTTGCATATAAAACACATTTGAATAATATATGCTAACATTTTAAGTACTATTTATGTTTCTTAAATGGTTGTATAATATTTACATGCCAATTTAAAATTGTATCACATGATACTAAGGTTTTAGGCGTGATACAGATTAGAGTTGGATATAGATACTTATTAAAATTTGCATTTTTTTTAATCTTATAACAATTAGTAGTCACTTGAAGCTAAATCATTTTAGTATAAAACTGTGATATAGGTTTTTTATATTAGGGCATATTTACAAGAAATTCTTTGCATACATTCATGTTAAAGGTTTGATTGATGTTCAATCCCATTGCCCTTAAAATAAACAATATTATTTTTACTTTTTTTTCCATTGTGATTTGTTACATAGATTTATTTTTGATTTAAGTCTTAATAGGATAGTGCTAACTCAACTTGTTTGCTATTCCAATATTTATTTTATTGTTTGTACTCATGGTTATAGTTAATGTTGGTTTTGTCAATTATTATTTCACTACCTAGGTTCCTAGCTAAGACAAGACATAGGTCTCCTCTAAAATTTCTTATAACAATTTTATCTTAAGAAATGCTATTCCAATTACAAAAAACAAAAACATTTCAGCTCTGGAAGCATTACTTGCACGCCCATTTGTCCTTACATAATTTCTAGAAAAAAAAACAACTGACTACAGACAATTTTACGATTTTATTATGTTTAAAGATGTTTGTAAATGTTTATAGAGTTGCATATGAGATAACTAACAGTATCTGAAGGAAGTGGAGTGTAGTGTTTTTATTGTAAACTTGGCAACAATCCATTGCTAGCAGCAGGCAACTGTTGTTAAACAAAATATAATTTTTACAACTTAGTATGTTTTAGTTTTTCACAACAATGTTTCAGACTTCAAAACAATTGATGTGTAAGACATGGACATAGTAAGTTCAATAAACTTCCTTAATCTATACATATAAATAAAAATGCAGTGTCTGTTTGTAAGATTGAAACAACCGTTTACTACATGCATATGAATATAAGCATGGTACATACACCAAAATAACATTTATTACCATTTTTGTCTGTCTGTCGGTCTGTTTATTCCGGCTAATCTCTGAAATGGCTGGACCGATTTTGAGGGGACTTTTTTTGGCAGGTAGCTGATGTAATAAGGAGTACATTAGGCTACTTTTATTTTAGAAAAATATAATATAATTCCATGCGGACAAAGTCACGGGAACAGCTAGTTAGTTATAAAATACTGTACTATATAATAACCGAACATGTGTGTAGATTAAAGAAAAGACAAGATATATTTGACCAAATTACAGTTATAGTTTTGGATAAAATATAATCTGTTTAAACCTAGCTTGAAGTTGGCACTTGCATGACATGAAGAAGTGCAAGCAACTGTAATACATACATACATACAATATATATATTTAATTATCCTATAATTAAATTTATGCTTTATGCTGAGTTGGTTGCATCATCTTTGTGACACATAAAGCCACCTCCATGTTTTAATTTGTTTAATTTATATTTCTATATCCCCTGTATGTTATGTGTTTGTAATTGATGAATAAAGCATTTATCTATCTGAAGTAAAGCATAGACATTACAATATAGCAATATTTGTTTATTACACCAGCTACCTGCATGGAATTTAACTTTATTTTTCTAAAATAAAAGTAGACTAAGTTACTTCTTGTTACGTCAGCTACCTAAACAGTTCTGAGATTAGCCAGAACAAACAGACAGATAAAAGTTGTAATTAATGTTATTTTGGTCTATGTACCATATTTAGATTCATATGCATGTAGTAGAAAATGGTTATTTCAATATTACAAACAGACACTCCAATTTTATTCATATGTAGGTAGAGATTTTGTGTTCTCCCAATTTTGCCAAAGATGCTATTTAAGTAGCACGAAATCTTAGATTACAATGCTTTCTTTCGAACTAACTTGCTGGTGTTAATTTGGACTAGTAATACTAAACAAACTGAAATGTAACACCAAATTAATTGGTCCAAATAGAGCAGTGGTTTTCAACCTGTTGTCCATCAAAAAAATATTTTTAGCATTGGGAAATAGTGGTTTCATTGATAACAATATGCTATGTCAGGTTGACCTCCACACTATGCTTTAAAATCCATTGTGATCAATTCTAAAATTCGCCATGGTGGGATGGTAGAGTGGGACTAACTGATCTGACTTTCTCATTACTCACAATTTGAAACATTTCAATCAAATGCATGTTGACCGGTATGGGAATGTTGATGGTGATGAGTATCATCACCATCAACGTTCCCGTACCATCATCATCAACAACACCACCATTTTTATTGTAGTAGTCTTTTGTTTATTTCGTATGTTTTATCTTGCGTTTACCTTACATCGTTGTTTTGTTTCTATCGTTTTGTTTATTATTTTGTTTTCGTATTGTTTTGTTTTTGTTTTGTCTCCTATCAATAATATAATATTTATAAAAATTTATATGTAACAATAATGTAATAGAAATCATATATCTAAGAAAAACATAAATTTACATATTTTTTTCACGTCTGCTGAAGCGAGCGTAAACCGCACCACAGCCTTAGAGTCTTTCAAATGAATTCTCAGATTAAAAAAAAAACTTTTTCTCATAGCTTTATCCTCCACTGATATCACGCCAGCGTTTATCGTTAGCGCAGCCTTGTGTACTATTCCTCTTTGAAAACTATTATTATAAATAACTACCTGTACACTTTATTTTTCTAAAATAAAAGTAGCCTAAGTTCTCCTTATTACATCAGCTACCTGCCAAAAAAAGCCCCATCAAAATCGGTCCAGCCATTTCAGAGATTAGCCGGAACAAACAGACAGACAAAAATTGTAAAAAATGTTATTTTGGTGTATGTACCGTATTTGTATTCATATGCATGTAGTAAAAAACGGTTATTTCAATATTACAAACAGACACTGCAATTTTATTTATATGTATGGTGTATTAGTACATTTGAGAACTTTTGTATAGTCATACTTATGTTTTTTAATCTATCGCCCATTCGGAAACCTGTGTCATCACAAGATGAACGAGTAAGTTGCGTGTTGCTCTTTTAAGTAATTGTTATAACTTTATATTTTTAAATTGAACTTATAAACAACTATAACTTATTATATTCTACCCATCCTCTAAAAAGTATCGGTATAAAAGGTTGACAACCACTGTTTCAGTGTATTGTACATACATGGAACGTGCAAGTAACAATGGCTAACTGTAGGTCAAGGCGAGTGGTGGCAAACAGCCGATAAATGTTCTAAATTAGTATGGTCGAGCGTTCACAGCATCGGTTGGTGGTTAATTTTTATAACGTCTGCCTATAGTTTAAGACAAACTATAAAGTAAAGGTAAAGAAAAAAACTATAAGGTAAAGAATTATTCCTAAAATATCATCCTGATCATCTAGATGAATGGCGGTCTTCCACAGTGCGGTTTTCTAGAAACTTTTTGCCATGCACAACCACATTGTGGAATCACCTTCCAGCAATGGTATTTCCGAACCGATAATCACCTTCCAGCAATGGTATTTCCGAACCGATACGATATTGAAACCTTCAAGAAAAGAGCTTATTCCCTTTTAAAAGGCAGACAACGTACTTGCAATTCCCCT